AATATCACCTTCACAATTTAAGTTGTTTTTTTGTTTTTACCTTTTTCATCAGGTGAAATCAATTCCGTTTCCATACAGTACGCCAGAGCAATTTGAAGCATTCGTATCCCAACCGATTTGTAGAGAGTGGATTACAGAATCTTCACATCGTGAATTAACACGTCCTAAAGTAACAGTTCAATCTGGTCGTATTATTAGACCAATATCAAAGTCTGCGGCTTTGTTACGTGACATGGATATTGAGCGTTTTACTAAACAAAAGCCGATTGTGTGATACACTTCACATCATGTATTTAAATTATTATGTATCTTTCTAGCAGTCAGTCATAAAAATTGATTATGTGATTAATACACTATTTTGAAATGTTTGCATTCCTTTTCTACAAAGAAACTGCTCACTGATGTGAGTATTAAGAGACAATTTATATCAACCATTGAAGTCATCTTAACACCATGTGACCATCACACACTTGTTCAGCACCAAGTTCACCAAAAATTTATTCAGTTGACCTCAACTAGGTTGGGGTATGTTACTGTAAAGCATCCGAATTTCGTCTAGCCAATAAGGTGAACTGATGATTACTATTATTATTCCCTTGAATTGCAAGTGGAACATAGGGGGACTTCAAAAACACATCTCCACTTTGTTCTATTTGGTACTGTCTTCTTCAACAGGGTCCATGTATGATCATAATCTTCCATCTCCTCTTCCTCCTGTTCAACACACGATCTCCTCCATGTCGCTCTCGCACTGACGACCCATTTGTCCGTTCCAAATCCAATATTGGGATTCAACTACAGCGATGGCCTACTATGCACGCGATGTCATTCGACGGTTTCCTCATTGTACGTCCGATCAATACATTTCCATTTTCTCCTACATACTTGTTGAGCAATCGACTCTCACCTGTTGGTTTGTTTCCACCCAGAGTTTCTTGGTGCTAGTTGTTTCTGGCTGGCTGGGCAATTTGATCTTCAGTATGGAGCCAGCGAGCCGGCAAAGTGAGTAGCTGTTGATAAAAGTCTTCAGTGGCTTGTTGGAAATCGGTTTCGTGACACGCAGTGCAAGTTTGCGACCTGTAGAGAAGGGCTGACTTGACATTTGTGTTGAACAGAATCAGAATTTTGCTGTTTATGCTGTCTGAGTGAGCGTAGAAGATATCTACACTGGTTTCAGGTTGATGAAAGCGTATCTTGCCATTCCGATTCTGGCTATCTGACTTTGACATCTTCATCCGATCTGCTGACCTGTGGTTGGGACCGTGCTTCCTAGCCAGATGAGTGACGGCAGGGAGTAACCTCTGTCAGATCTCTCGCGTTGATGGTGATTCTTGCTGGTTGTTGTTGCTGTTGGTTGGTTGGTTATCTTCATCACCTCCGTTTTCTCTATGTTCACCTGTAGTCCTGTCTTCTCTGCTTCTTCAGTATCATCCAAAAGTAACTATTTATTGGAAAGTATGTCTAAAAATGCTAGGCATTCACTTGTTGAGACGTCTGAATCTCGCTTTGATTGGTTTTACTTGACCTCAATATTCAGTCATTGTTGATATATAGGCCTTTTAATATGGGTGGTGGATTAAGGTTTGTTGTATGGAACACCGTTAAAGGAAATACATGTATATATTAGTTGAGTAATTACAAAATTAAAGCATTAATGTTTATCTTGTCTGTGGTAAAATGCACAAAAGTTATCAAGATGATAGTAGAATTTCAGTGAGTACGATGATGGTTAAATTGTAGAATGCTCATCAACCACGCAAGTGGTCCGGATTCTATTCCTGACAAACGCACTCGTAAACCTTGTCTAACGGGTATTAAGTCTGAAAAAGAGGGAAGGTTAGGCTTAGGATTAACAGCTCCACTCCTTAACGAATCTTTTTCAAAAGTATTATACCTGACTCATAGAAAAATATCAAGATTGTTCCAGTGCCTAAATCAACAAGTGGACCTAATGTTAGGTTTAGACCTATTGCTATTACCTCAAGTTTTTTGAAAGTTATGGAAAGACTGCTTTTACTTAATCTTGAAACCTCTTTAAAGCCTTTGAATGACCGCAACCAGTTTGCTTATAAACAGAGTAGGTGTACGTTAGATGCCGCTGTTGTCCTATATCATAATATAGTCTCTAGTTTAGATAGAGGAGCTAAATACGTTCGGTGTGCCTTCCTTGATTACACATCTGCATTTGACTCTGTACCTAGATCTCTCTTGCTAAGTAAGCTTGCTGCAGCACACGCTGAGAGCTGGACAGATAAGTGGTTGCATTCCTATTTTTCTGATAGGAAGCAGTACACCGTCTACAATGGAAAATCCTCCACTACCTCACTTACTTTAGCTGGTGTTCTTCAAGGTGCTGTTCTTTCTCCTTTCCTGTTTTTTTCTTACATGACTTGCCCCACTCTGATGTGGCCACTTTTGCTAAGTATGCCGATGACCTCTCTGTTTCTATGCCTGTCAACTCTCAGTCAGATTGTTCCAAATTAAATAACTTTCTGTCGGAAATTAGTCAGTGGTCCTCTTCAAACGATCTTAAGCTTAATCCGTCTAAATGTCAGGTAGTCAATTTCACTTCCAGACGTAAATGTGACCTACAGCGACTAGTTAGCTCACATGGCCCCACTATCATTGACGTCAGAGAGGTTGAAATTACATCTAACGTCAAGTACCTTGGACTGAGTATTTCCTCCGATCTTTCCTGGTCCTCCCACACCTTGCTAGTTACTAGAAAGATATTTCGCTTAACGTTCTACGTTAGGAAGTTTAGGCAGGCTGGTATAAAGCAGTCTTTTCTTTCTCAGTTTGTCAATTCTTGTATTCTACCCTTCCCTCTTTACTGCTCCCCATTAATCTTTCCTGGACTACTTAAGAAAGACTGCCTTGCTGAGAAGGGCACTAAAAGCCGTTAGTAGGGCAAGTGGGATATCGTTAAACCAACTGGTTAATACTATTAAGGATAGACATATAATGTCATGTAAGAAACTAGCGAATACTATATTGTCCGACCCCGAGCATCTTCTCTATACGCAGCTGTCTCCTTGCATTTCATCTGGTAGGACCAGAAGCAGCTATAGGAGGCTATATGCTAGGTCTACTAAGTACAAAAACTCCACAATACCATGCCTGGCACAGCTGTTATGTGGTGATGAGAAGTCCGTTAGGTATGACACGATCAACTTACTGCGGCACTCTAACAAATAGTCCCAGTAGGTTTTGTTTTCCTTTCTTCGTTACTATTATATTATTGTTCACATCTACTACACACTAATTTTATATTTCATATCCTAGGGTGCATTGTTTAAAGTGTAAACTCAACGCTGCTCTTTTCAGTACTTTTTATTTATCTATTTTTTTGGTTGTTGCTTTTTGATTTTAAAATCTTATAAAATTTATGAGGTAATTAGATGCCATATATTGTAATGTACGCTGAAAATTCCATACCTGTACCACAAATACTGTTTGGAATAAAGCTGTTATTATTGTTATAAAACAAAAGGAAAAAATAGCCATTTCATCTGATCCTGCTGCCTTCCTGGATTTCAGTATCTTGATCGAACTAGTAATACATAAAATCGATTTGGGATTTTGCATAAGCTAATTAATTTGTGGCGAGAATTCATCACGATTCCCTGTTGAAACTGAAAATATTTAGATCACAATGTGTAATCTACTTGATACCATAAAAAGCAATGAACAAATCAAGCACAAATGTACTTCTTTGCATCATATTAGATATCCTAGTTTTAAACAAGGGAATTATACCCTCTGGATTGTGTACCGAATCTTCTTTTAACAAAAACGTCATTTTAAGAGAAATTATCATATATACTATAAACTTAGCCCATTATTTAAGAAATAATGTAACTTTATCATACTTATTTGCTCCAGAGCAACATAAATAAAGAAACCTGTCTCATCAACTTCCAGTTGACTGAGGTGATATTCACTACTACATATGAAGTTGCTATTTTCTGGTGTTTGGAAAACCACCGAAGATCCTTAAAATACATGACTGACTGACTGGTTTCAACGTAGAACTTTGCACAGATGTGCAACATTTCGAGTTGCCACTCTTCCTCCATATAGCACACAAAGACAACAGAAATTCAAGAGAGAGAGAGATAGTAGTAAGAAACATGATGCAAAAAGAATAGTAATATGGAAGGACAATATGATTTTATTGGGTATTATACATCACAAAGAGTGAATGCATCTGAGAGTCATATCATCAAGAGTCACCAATCGTCATTGGATTTTTCCATCCCGTGGATCCCAACCAGTCAGTCAGGAAGTATACATCTCCCTACATTGCTGGCTTAAACTAACTGCTTCATTGACTGATGTAGCTATGATTTCCTCCGACCACTAGTGGCTCTTTCTCAAGCTAATCGTATGTCGGTTAACATTGCCCGTCGTCGAGAAAGGCGATGGCTAAGGATGCGTGCGTAACACATGTCCTAACCATCTCACTTGACGTAGCTTCACAACCTCATCGATTGATCTGACCTCATTACCTAGCACTCGACTGATGACTAACGCCATTCTATTACACCACTTAACACGGGAAGTTCAACGCAGACAGTTGTAATCAAACACACAGCTAGCCAGACTTATCATGTCTTCCGATTTCAGTGGCCTTGTCTCACTCATAGCCATAAAGGAGGACGGAGTGAACTGCTGGGTAGCACTCACTTCCTTCGGTCGATAGCCGGATATCACATCTACGCCAGAGATGGCGCAAATTGGTAAATGCCAAATGAGCTTTTTGTATCCATGCTGAGATTTCGTCAGCGATCAACCCGCTGTGGTTGGTGCAACTCCCTGAATAAGTGAAGTGGTCAACACGCTCATTAACTTCACTCCCTGTCTTTAGGCTAAGAGTGAATGTAGTGCAGTCCTGTAGCATCATTTAACATTTGACGGTGGGAGCGAATCGCATGCCGAACATTGCTCACTGCTCAAGGTGTTCAGACGACTCTGCTGTATTTTGTCGGAATCTTCACCTAGGAGCAGGATTACATCGTCCTCATATTCTGAGTCAACGGGATTATTCCCTGTTAACAAGTCAATCCCTGAGTCTCCGTAGTCAGTCCATTAGTACATGTATGATGAAATTGAATAGACAGGGACATTGGTGGGCAGAACAACAAACAGTTTATATCCAATGAATGTACTAATTTATTTCGTTGGAAGCTGCAAAATATTCAGAATTACTTTTACTGCTTATAATGGAGAATAATCTGAGCAGTACAGGAAGACAATATGCATACTGGGAAAGAAAGAAAGAAACTGTAGGAATATGGAGAACCAAAGGACGAATGAGTATTAATAATATTATGAAATCAGTATGATTTATGCACGTAATTCCAAGGATAAATAATAAATAGATGTTTGCTTTTCTTTGCTTCTGAAAATTTATTAAACATCAAATTCAATATTCAAAAACTAAGCACCAGTATTTAATTGAATTCCCTTTTTGACATTCTTTTTAAACTGGCCAATCACATTTCCCGGAGGATAATACAAACAAACAATAATTAATTTTGAATCTCTATTCATTGAGTCTTCTGATTCAAACGACGATCTACTTGCGATACCGACTCCAATACTCTTTGAACCTGACCATACAATCTGAGTAAAATTGCCTGAAAAGTAAAATGACTTTATCCGAGTATATTAAACATATCAACCGAGTTAGTAAAAAAACAAAGATGTCAATGATGCTTGAATGAACATATTAAGATACCGTGTTTTTTTTTTACATCGGTCATCCAATAGTCCATATAACAGCAATAATAATCGTGAAACTACAACTCCTGTGTGTTTTCTCCGTAGAACACCCAGGATGGTAAAGCTCTACTAAATAAAAAAATTGAACAAAGAATATCGTTTTCGATCATTTCCTCTTCTGGTACTAAAATTATATATATATATATATATATTGAAATTCATTAAGGGGAGTAAATGTATGAAAGATGCATAAGTTATAATAATAAGCATAAAAATGGAATAGTAAGTAGAATATCAAATAAAATTAAGGGAATTTCCACAACAAATTGAGGATCATTACAGCCTTGATGGTCAGAGGGGTAAGGACGATGTCTGAACCAGCTTCTTTTGGATACATCATAAGTTAGGTTTCTTAATGTAGGTCCCAACACAGCCAGTGTGAGTAATATGTAATAGACGAACTCTTAAGAAGGCAAAGTTAAGATTAGTTGGTATACAGTAGACGAATTTGAAAGCCACCTCGTTAACACTAGTCTTGAGTTCTGTATCCACGAGATGAGATAGAATAGAGAGCTATGAATGGATTTCGTTTGTCTCTTACCTAACCACCATGCGGGGTGTTGCTCGGAAATCCGACGATAAACACGCCTAATTGTACGGCCTATGCCACTAACTGGTTCCACAGGAGCAGTCAAATCGGAAGAGGCAAAATTAGGTAGTTTATCTTTGATTGCCGAAAGCGAAATAGCAGTGGTTTTGAAGACACAGCATCACTGAATGCTTATTTTTCCACATTCCTCAGGCGTTGTGTTAATATCTCACTGAAATTATTCCCGAGGAAGTGAAGTTGTAAAAATAAGGCCTTTTTCGGAATTGTTGATACTTCAGCCTGCCTTGACTTTTGATTAATATTCGTATGGAAGAATTTATCCGGGTAACCATTCTTTTTCAACCACTGTTTAATAAAATTAAGCTCTTCATTAAGATATTTATCAAAGCAAATTCCTCTTCCTCCACTATATATTTGAGTTATAAATGACTTTCATCTGTTAATTTATGAAAATACTATTCGACCACTACATCAGCAAAAAATGAATTGATTTCATGTCAACTCTTTATCATAAAACAGAAAAGTACTGGACAATTAGTTCGTAAAAGGCTGAATTTTTCTATTGGTAGACATTTATAATAGTGATAAATGGTTTTTATAGAAAATCAAAACAAGTGATTGATTCAGCGAAGAGACTTTTTTCAACGAATTTATTATCAAGCTGTACAATCGTATATTTATGGGTGTCCTTAAGAAATTATATCCGGTGAGGGAATTGAATCATAGGTGTGAATGCACAAAATAATAATAGTAGTAGTATGAAATGCAATTAAAATTAAAGTTTGTGTTGGTTTGTAGAGATTTGATTAGTTACGGGATTTCACCATGAGCTAAAATTGGTTAGAGAACCATAGGAAAACCTGGGAGTACTGCACAGCTGTTTCCTCGTAGTTAGGGACTCTTCACCAATACGCACCCACCAGGGTTGGAACCCGTGAACTGGCAAAAGTTAGAATTCATGAGCCACTGGATCCGGCCCCAGTAGCTTAGTGGTCTACGAGCTGGCCTCGTAACCGGGAGGTCCTGGGTTCAAACCTCGGCGGGTGCGTACTGCCGAAGAGCTTAAAAAGGACGAAACAGCTGTCCAATACTCCCAGGTTTTCCAATGGTTCTCTAATCAATATCAGCCCATGATAAAATGTTTGTGTTTATAGTCATAGTTAAATGTCAACTGGCTAAACCATTAATGCCATGTATGTAGGATAATTCTTAGGATGTATAGAACTCGGAAGGGATGTAAAATTATAGGATAGGTAAGTAAATCCAATAACATAAAAAAAAATGAATGAAAATGGACAAGTCTTCGCCGACTTTTGTGTCCTCAACTAACTAGTGATTGGCGGCAGCGTATAAAAACACATGGATATCCACAAGGCTACATGGGTGTCACCAGATGGGCGAACCAAAAACCAAATTGACTTCATCTCAATGCTACTCAAGGAAGTGGGGACACAGCTTACTGGATACAAAAGTAAGAAGAGGAGCAGACGTTGACTCAGACCCCTATCTCGTACAAGAGACAATCCAAATCAAATTAAAAGCTTTCAAAGAAACAGGAGCTGCAGATAGACCACAAGCCAAGTTCAATACTCAAAAACTGAAGGACCAGGATACAAAGAACATCTTCACTGAAAACATAAGGGAAAAAGCCGAGACACAAATCAACACTATAGAAGAGATCAGCATTGAAAACCACTGGGACAACCTGAAAGCAGTGTAGAGTCAAACCTGCATGGAAGTTCTAGGCAGAAAGAAGAGACAGGACAAACAGTGGCTCACTACGGACACTTGGAGACTAATAGAAGAGAGAAGGATGGTGAAACAAAAGATTACCCAGTGCACAGATGAGCAACAAAAACAGGAGTTAAATGCAAGCTACAATACACTGAACGAAAGATAAAGAAGAATGCCAGGGAAGACAAAAGAAAATATTATGAAGGCATGACAAGTGAAGCAGAACAAGCTAAAGGCAAAGGAGACCTCGCCACACTCTACCAAAGCACGACAAACTTTCAATTCTCCCAAGTCTGTGTGGAGGTCAACAGAACTCAGCATCAAAAATAAGATCCGGATTTTCAACTCCAATGTGAAGTCAGAGCTACTATACGGATCAGACACTTGGCGTGTCATGAAGGGCACTTCGAACAAGCTACAGAACTTCATCAACAGCTGTCTTTGCGTAATACTCAAGATCAGGTGGCCACAAAATATTAGCTACAGGAATCTCTGGAAGCGAACCAACTTAGCAGGAACCGATTGTGCAATAAATAAGCAGGAGGAAATGGAGGTGGATTGGCCATACTCTGAAAAAACCATCAAGTGGATGACATCACACGCCAGGCATCGCTCGAGTGGAACCCGAAAGGGGAGCGGCGAGTTGGTCGTCCAAGTGTGACTTGGAGGGGGTCATGTGAAGAGGAGATGAAAGCGTGTGGGCAGACTTGGAGCCAGGTGAAAACTTTAGCAGAGAACCGAACGCAATGGAGACCTGGGCGGCTGAAGCCCTATGCCCCTCTAGGATTTTAAGGAAATAATAAAAAACGTTACGCAATATTATGTGACAATTGATAACACAGAACTTAACATTGCAAAAAAAGATTGATTTAGGATGACAAGTGGGACGAGTGAAATAATACCGGGGAAAAATCAAAGTGAGCATATAAGTATATAAGTGAGTATAAAACTTGGGCACTGTGGCAGAGTATAACTCCATTATGGATAAGATTTTATTTTGATAAGTTACACAGTGTTACACAGTAATAATAACTGATGACGTTTCGAGCACAAATTATTACTGCCCATAATCTTATCAAGTCACTCACACAACTTTTTTCCTTCATTCATATACATGTGTGGAAGTGACTAGATACTTGAATAAAAATAAATACAGGATAATGTACATTTAGAAATAATAATAATATGAGTGTTATTGATCAATTGCAATCAAATGGGAAATGAGACGAGTGTTTTTACAGTCATAATTAGTGACTTGTTAGAATGTTGTGATGTGCTTGAGTTGAAATAGAATTTTGAGATTATTTATTATCCTCCCCTGTTTTGACTGACTGGTGGTAATAATATCTTCCATATTTCTGGTATTTGCATTGAATCGTTTCTGTTGCATGTGTTGGGTGTAGATTCAATTAACCAGGATTCATTAATCAATCTCTCTCCCCACCTACACAGATTACCTCTTAGAATCTTAACCCTCTTCCTCCCCCTATTGTGTGGTTGTGTGTTATTGCATGCAGTGCGATCGCTGAGCTTTTTTCTAAATTACTTATCTTCTCGGTGTCAACCATCCTTACCTTAGCTCAATTCTTATGTTCTGACAATCTGATTACCCCCGATCTAGTAGTTTGATCTATGTAGTTGACCTCACAGTCATTGAAGAGCGTTTTGTAAATTATATTAAATCTTGAAATATTACCATTTTTAATGTTAATAATTTAATAATAATAATAATTGATAAGATTATGGGTAGTAATAATTTGTGCTCGAAACGTCATCAGTAAACATTACTGTATAACAACACTGTGAGACTTTATCAAAACAAAAATTTACCCATAATGGAAATACATACATTTTATAAAAAAAATCATAAGGTGCACAACATCGTCAAACCAAAACAGTTTTAAGTTTCATTAACCAACACTCACCAATACCCTGAATACTGTCAGGTTCGGTTTCATATTTGAACTTTTCTGATTCTTGATACCAGTGTTCAATTAATTCTTTGCCTAGAGATTTTTTTGTTATCATAGAAAATAAATTACACATTTAAAGAATATTTTATTTTATTGAATAATTGTTATAATAAAAGAAAGATAAATAATAATGCATTTGTGCCAATTAAAGTTTTCAATTTGATTCATATTCATACTTAACACATCTAGTTGCTTTGATCATGTCTTTTCTGATAGCTGCTGCGTAAGACCTGTATCACACTTTGAGAGAAAAGTCAGCATAAACTAGATACTGGTTATTAGCTCACTAGTTTTCAAACAACAATCGAACAAAGAAAAGCATTTTCAACTTCCCAGCGTTCCAATGACTTGAAAGAGCTGAGGAAGCACCCTAATATAACACAATCACGAAACCTGATAAAGATTCTGGAGTGTTGTCATCATGAACAAAAGTGACTACAAATCGAAAATGTTGAGGATAAAAGAAAATTCAACCGTGATCCTTTTCTTTAGAAGATATTCAGTTGTTGCAAGTCACAATGATAGCTAATCAAATGAAGCTTCATGGCCTAAATTTTATGGGTAAAGATAAATTTGACTCTTTAAAACCATCAGAATATAAATTCCCACATTTGTATGCTTTGCCAAAAATACATAAACCCAATAATCCTCAATCCTCTACGACTCTCATTGTCAATGTGCAGAACCCCCAGGCGTAAACTTGCTGAATTATTGCATCCAGTTAAAACACAATTCTGTAAGTACGTATTAAAAGATACATTTGAACTGGTTAATTCCCTTCATGATATTAGTATTATGATGAAAACTGTTTATTCGCTAATGTGAATTTGCTTAAAACAGTTGACATTTTGTGTGATTACATTTCCACACATAATTTTTTCATCCCGTTCTCTCTATCTTTTTTAAGGAGTTTAATACTTTATTGTACTAGCAATGTTAGTTTTACTTTTGAAGGCGACTGTTTCCGCCAGGTTGATAGTGTCACTATGGGAAGTCCGTTAGGGCCCCTTTTAGCAGATATCCATATGTCGTACATTGAAAGCTTATCGAAGGATTTAATCGAACATGTGCCACTTTACAGGGGGGAAGTAGATGACATTGTAATCACCTCAATTTTAAATCAAATGAATTAAGTTCAGAACAGCATACCACTTACGTCTGCAAAACAGGAAGATAACTGTTTATCTTCCCTAGATATACTGCTTAGTCGACGGCCTGATGGATCAGTAAAACGATCCATTTATTTATACCTGGACAGGAAAGTATCTTAATTACCACAGTTTCTGCCCTGTTCGATACAAAAGAGCCTTAGTAAGGTGCCTCTTCAGCAGAATGCAACGAATATGCACTGTAGACACACTTGATGAGAAAGGAAGAAAGTTGACTCAAACTCTGGTTGGTAATGGTTATCCAGACAAGTTCATCAAAAGATATAAAGCAGTCATAACACCAAGGCCCACCTCCAACTCGTCGCTAAAAAAAACGTGTAAATCAAGCTACCCTATATGGGTGATCATAGCAGCTTGGTAACTAGACAAAGATCGAACGCTGCTGTTAAAAAGACTTTTTATGCAGCTAATGTCATAATAATTGAGAATGTGAAGCTGATATATCCATCTGAGCCCTTAGAACATGCGAAAATTGATGTCATATCCCACTGTATTTACAAATTTGAACGTACGTGTAGATACACATACATAGGCAGGACTCATCGATCTCTGCAAGTAAGGGCTTCAGAAGCAAATAGAATTCCGTGAACCCATTGATGGTCAGAACAGACGACCTAGCTGCTCTACTGCGAAACATATTATAGAGACAGGATATAAAATTTATGTTTACATATCTATAAAACTTATCTACAAAACGTGTTTGGGGCGTTTGTGAAAGCCCTAGCTGTCAAATAGGAAGTTGAAACCACATTTATGCGTTCAAAAACAATCCATCATCACGCTAAAAGATCTTTGATAAACTAAATTGTTTACCTTCCTTCTTTTTAACAGATTGCTCTGATACAACACGTGTACAATTTAAACTTACGTAATATAAACGTAAGTTCAAATGAACCGGATATATGAATGAAATATTTTCTATAGTTTGGTTTGTAAGGGTTAGTTATGTTTTTACGAGTTGATCACGGATTGATATCAGTTAGAGAACCATTGAAAACCAGGGAGTACTGGACAGCTGCAGTTTCATCCTAGTTTGGGAATCATAGGCAGTACGCTAGAAATTGACGAAAACTCGGAGGTGAACGGCATGCTTTATTAATGAGGTCTTAGGATTCCTCTGTTAAAGTAAGTCTTATTTGATGACATACAGAATAAAACAGCCACATTTCTAAAAAACTTTTTACCAGTCTAATGAAGTTCTAAAATTTCATTAGAAAATACAAGCAGCTTTGTTAAATGAAAAAAAAATACTTGAAGTCGATATTATTACTTCATACAGCCGGTTATCTTGATCAGTTTGAATAGACAAATAACGAACATATTTGCAGACAGGATAATAGCAAATCGCTCTATTTCGTCATGGATTATGTATCCGCAACTGCCTACATCCTAACTAGATCAATTATATGTTACAAAATCGTCTCTGAAAAATACTTCTTTTTACAATGACTTCAAGTTATAGATAGAGAGTATAAGCATAAGCAACATAATTTCAAGGATGATGTAAGTAAACAATTATTTAGTGTTAAAAGAATAACTATTTATAAAGTAATAATTAGTCAAAGGGATGGAACTCAGATTTCTCTTGAAAAGAAGGACGGATCGAAATACAAGATACAAGCAGAGAGTTAATTTATTCATATCATGGTGGAGGATTCATGAGGGTGGTGGTGGGGTGAATAGTGAGGTAAAATTATAAAATAGGTAAAATAACTTCATTTAGGAGATTCGAAAGCTTAACAGTGAGTTCAACTCACTCAGAAAGTGGAAATCAAAATCAAGATTGAGTGGAATGTTGTGTAAGCAACAGAACAAAACACAAAAGCACACGAACAAAACAATTATGGTTAGCACGTCGGGTATTGAGAGATTAGTCACATTCTCTTCCTGTATGCATAGGTTGGGTCGAAGTATTTTGATGGTGGCAATGACTTCCACGAACCGAAGTAGTCATGCTTTTCTTTGTGTGTTGATTGATTATTTTGAAGGCTTGACTAATTTCCACTGTATATCCTGTGTCAATTAGGTGTCTGGCGATTGCGCTTGAGAATACTTTGATGCCTTTCATGGAGGGAGACTTCTGGGGATGTAGTCACAGGATCTAGTAAACGCTCTCTTCTCAGTCCCTCCTATTTACTTGCTGCCGCAAGCTCAGGTGAATTGGTAAATGAAATCGAAGTTGACATGCAGAGCAGGATACTTATTTGCCTTTGATTGGGTTAACGAGCATACTGTGTTGTAAAATGGAACGAGTCTAGAGGCGGGTAATGTTCTTTTCAATACACCTTTGATTCTGTTTTCCCTTCTGATAGATACTTCTTCAATTTTGTACACTAGATAGAACTACCATACCAACCCCCCGCCCCACAACATTTACATAGATTAACTCGGTGTGACTAGAAGGAGAAAGCCTACATTATCCTGTATCACCAAAAATACTGGTAACTTGTTGGTTAGTGTATCACGTATTGATTTAAACGAAGTGGAATACATATTTAAACTTACAGTTATCCTCAATCCTTCCATTAGACCAACGACTTCCCACATTTTCTCCAACTCGTAAGCCTTGATAAATATATCCACTGTTTGATAAATGTGTTTGTTGAAGTAAATTATCAGCCCACTGTTGAGCCATATCCGAAAGATCCTGTCATTGGAAACAGATAAATAGAAAGTTTGAGCAAACTATTATTAATATTTTAGTCGAATGAGATATTTTCACAAAACAATAACAAATAACAATGGTATATCCACATATACAAAGTTCAATTCCCTAAAAGACCAATGACAATGACAGAGTGAATACAACACACATAAAGAATAAATTGAGTATGACAAATAATAATCATGTGTTGCAAACTAGGTGAAAAATAGGAAAAAACGACAGAGAGAAAAGAAAATCAGCGTACATTGACATATAAAAGCATGGAGATGTCAAATGAATTATAACTTTAAGATAACCTTGGGCAAATTATATACATAGAGGTTAGACGTAATCTTTTGGATGCATAGGGTAGGTTTATTTTAATGAATTATCTACAGCTTCAGCTACAGGTAAGAGACCTAATCGTATACCATTAAACAAACTGTTCGGCGTTTCATGTATGAATGTAAATATATGTTTTATTTTCAAGCTGTCTTTACCCGCCACCACATGAATAGGGATGTATTATTCATTGACCAAACAAACTGGCTGAAGAAATCAAGCGGCGAAGACAAGACTACAGGTGAACATAGAGAAAACGGAGGTGATGAAGATAACCAACCAACCAACAGCAACAACAACCAGCAAGAATCACCACCAACGCGAGAGATCTGACAGAGGTTACTCCCTGCCGTCACTCATCTGACTAGGAAGCACGGTCCCAACCACAGGTCAGCAGATCGGATGAAGATGTCAAAGTCAGATAGCCAGAATCGGAATGGCAAGATACGCTTTCATCAACCTGAAACCAGTGTAGATATCTTCTACGCTCACTCAGACAGCATAAACAGCAAAATTCTGATTCTGTTCAACACAAATGTCAAGTCAGCCCTTCTCTACAGGTCGCAAACTTGCACTGCGTGTCACGAAACCGATTTCCAACAAGCCACTGAAGACTTTTATCAACAGCTGCTCCCTTCGCTGGCCGACCGGTTGGCCAGAATCAATTAACAACAAGAAACTCTGGTCGGGAGCGAACCAACAGACGAGAGGCAATTGCTTAACAAATATGTAGGAGAAAATGGAGATGGATTGGGTAGCATGACATCGCGTGCATTGCAGGCCATCGCTGTAGTTGAGTCCTAATAGTGGAATGGGGAGCGACGAGTGGATCGTCGGTGCGAGGGAAACATGGAGGAGGTCGTGTGTTGGGCAGGAGGAGGTGATGAGGGGTTATGGGCAATCGAGGGGTCAGCCAGAGGAAGACAACAACATAAAATAGAAAAAGGAAGCGATGTGTTGTTGAAGCCCTATATTTCACTCGGAACACAAGGGAATAATTATTAATTTACCTAGTCACTCCTCTCAAAGGCATAAGACGAATTTCGCCGACGTAACATTTCCTTAACATTAATGGACACCCGTGGACGTGGAGTAGCAGCAAGTAAGTGGTTTTCGTCATTGACAAAATCCTATGGTTTTCAACGACTTCACTCGCAATTTCAAGCCTTGTTTCTAAATATAAGTGGAACACTCTTCCTTTCATTAGAGCTTGTATGCTATAATTTCTTTCTTGTGGCTTATTAATAACCTCAACGAACAGTATCGGGCATCCATTTCTTACAAAAGTCTGTTTAAGATGTGTAAGTTCTTTATCAATACACTCTATTAGCAAATAGTCCTACAAATGACTGTGTTGAGGGTGGAGAGATTAAGTTTATTTTTCTGTAGGTGGGAACAAAATTGTAAGAACACTGCTCAACTGCCTACTCCACGTACAATTGAAAATGAGACTTCAATATAAAACTTTCCAAACAACTGCAGCATTTTAAATTTCCTTAAACTTGCTACCAGGACACAGTTTCGTAGATTTGGAGTAAACGGTTGATACAGCTTGAATAAAGCAAGAACAACAGTGGTTTGTGCAGAATAATATGGAACCATCATGTCAATGCTTTTTGATGCTCTTCAGAGAGAACTTTGAAATATGACGTTGGTGAAATGAGGTATTGATTTGCAACGTCGACCAGCTTAGGTTTGAACCAGCTCTTCTTGTCCTCATCAACTGGAGTAAAGTCATTCAGACAGACAGCTGATAGAATAGGTTTTCGAATTGAGCTGCGACATCGGTTTTATTGACAAAGTTATTCGGGATATGGAAGTTAAATCCGAGGGAAAACACTTGCATTTCAATGCGGCTTAAATTCAGACTTGACAGATTATACACAAACTCCTCAGGATTTTCTGGGAAGACTTCATATATTTTTTTCTTCGTCAGGGTTTTATAAAAATTTGAACATGTTTTCTGTTGAAGCTCTTCAATGAAATTGATGAATTCGATCCGGCTAACTATGTTCAAACTATGGTTGTCAATAGTTTGAACATAGTTCATCAATTTCATTGAAGAGCTTCAACAAAAAAAATATTTTCAAATTTTTATAAAACCCTGACGAAGAAAAAAATATATGAAGTCTTCCCAGAAAATCCTGAGGAGTTTGTGTATAATCTGTCAAGTCTGAATTTAAGCCGCATTGAAATGCAAGTGTTTTCCCTCGGATTTAACTTCCATATCCCGAATAACTTTGTCAATAAAACCGATGTCGCAGCTCAATTCGAAAACCTATTCTATCAGCTGTCTGTCTGAATGACTTTACTCCAGTTGATGAGGACAAGAAGAGCTGGTTCAAACCTAAGCTGGTCGACGTTGCAAATCAATACCTCATTTCACCAACGTCATATTTCAAAGTTCTCTCTGAAGAGCATCAAAAGGCATTGAAAGCTCTTAAAAAATAATGACAAAATCGCCATACTGTGACCTGACAAAGGCTCAGGAGTGGTACTGATGGATAAAAATGACTACATCGCAAGGATGAAAACTGTGCTGAATGACCCGTTGAGGTTCAAAGTCGACGGCAGCCAGAAAGACAAGATAGATGCAACTGAGAAACGCATCACAAACGTACTGATGATCTTCAAAAGAAGAATTTGATTGACAACAACACGTACAATGAATTGAAACCCCGGGGGTCCCGCTTGCCATATATGTATGGCTTTCCAAAGACACACAAGAAAGAAGTCCTTCTGAGACCTATACTTTCGATGATCAACTCTCCCCAATATAAGGTTACCCGTTGGCTTGCGGAGAAGTTGGAACCCTTTCGCCAAAGGCTAGCCGCGCATACCATAAAAGACTCATTTCATTTTGCCGAAAGCGTGAATCACATGAATGTTCCAAATAAGTTCATGGCTTCATTTGATGCAACCTCCTTGTTCACAATGATTCTAATCAATGAAACGATTGAGATCATTTGTCAACAGTCTGATCTTCTCCCACTACCAGAGCCGGAATTCAAACGCCTACTGCTAATGTGTATCATGGGTGTACAATTCCAGTTTGATAACACTCTTTACCAACAAATAGATGGTGTAGCTATGGGCAGTCCACTTAGCCCTGTTTTAGTAGATATCTTTATGTCAAACCTTGAGAAAACAAAGTTGAAGCATGCAGTTGATCAAACAACTTCCTATTGTCGATGACACATTTGTAGTATGCAACAACGAAAGTCATGCCTCCTACCTACTCAGACTATTCAACAACGCACATACAAATATTGCATTTACTGTGGAACATGAAAATGATGGAAAGTTCCATTTCCTTGACGTCGACATGCAACACCTAGAAGATGGTAGTCTCCAGAGGTCAATCTGCCGAAAGCCCACATGGAATGGACAATAATTACATTTTGATAGTTTTTGTCCAAATAGCTATAAACGAGCACTAGTCAAGACTCTGTACTATACAGCGAGGAGAATATGCTCTGCAGAGAAACTAGAGGAAGAATTTACGAATCTCGAAAAGGTGCTTAAAACCAACGGCTATCCTCAAAGATTCATTAACAAATATGGAAGATGTGAAGGCTCAAATACCAAACAAATCACAGTTGAAAAAAAGCCTGTCTTCATTCAACTAGATTTTAAAAGTGAAGACATTGCAGAAATGGTCAACAGAAGACTGAGAACATCACTAGCCAGAGCCTATCCTGCAGCTAAGTTGGTTTCCGTCCATCGAACAACATGCTCTTTGGTGCAGTCAAAAGTTGATAGATACCCTTCTCATGTTAACTCCAACTGTGTATACAAATTCACGTGTAACTGAGGGAGCAGTTACATTGGGAGAACAGAAAGAAGGGCACACTTCCGATTTTCTGAAAATGTGCCGAAAAGCCTACGTCTCAAGTAGCGCTATTACCAGACACCTCCTCGATACGGGTCATGAGGTGGAAATCGAGAAATCCTTCAAAATTATCAATAGACAAAGGAGCTCCATTCTCCTCAAGTTTGCCGAAGCAATTTCTATTAAACGCTTGAAACCAGATTTATGTGTTCAGAACGAAGCAGTTATTAGTTTTTCCTTGCCTTGGTAACTGGATGTCTTTTTTCTCTCATCTGTATATCTGTTGTCCCTGAAAGCACTATATACACTATGCCTTATACCTATGTCTATAAGACGAATAACAGACCGCTGATATATAAGTCAGTCCCAATGATCACAATTAAACAGTAATTATATGATTGTACTATTTGATAGTTGCTCATATGAACATCCCTGAAAGAAAAAATAATAAAGTACAGCATCAACCATATAAATGAAAGATCAACTTAAAAAGAATAAGGTAATACTAATTATCTACCGGATCAAGTACAAGGGGGTTGGATTCATGTTGACTGCGGTATTGATTATGGAGTTCAACAACAGCATGAACAGACTCTTCACGATGTTTACTACGATCCTATAAAAGAGCAGAGAAAAGAGTTGATTTTCAGCGTATTTAAGGAGGAAATCAGATTATGTTTATAAATTTGAACACCAGTCCCTCACTTATGATTGACTAACTTTGTAATGAATCCCCTGGTAGAAGACACCAACCTGGGCTCCGATAAATTCGCTCATCAATAATAAAGGTATTGTAACGATAGAAGACGAAATGCTTGGTAAAGGAAATGTTTATTTGCGATTTGACATCTCTATATAGCCAAATTATCTACACCTTTTCTTCAATTCATTATTTCCACAGATATTCCGTGTTGTCCTACTTCTCGCCTTCCTTCGCATTGTGTTTCTTTGTGTTCCTTTAACGTCCCCCATGTATCTCCCCAATGTTGTATCATTTGCTTTCACTGACATCAAATTAATCTCTCCGTTATTTGATATATTTTTGTGTCGATGAATATCTCTTAAAATATAAATATATACTACTGGTAAATCTTATCAGTAGCACATGTCACGATATGATATCACTAAACTCTGAGATTTAACATGGAGAAATTATCAGAATTTCAAAAATGTCACTGATACCAATGACAGTGGCAAAGAAAAAGATCGGTTTTAAAGTTTTCGTAAGGAATATAAAATAATTCTGACGGCAAACTTTTCGAAAATCATCAAAACTGTAAATGTCACGCTACGTAGAACATTCAAAACACAAATAAAGACCAGAAAATAGTCACAAAAAGTGCAGAAAGAAATAAAGAAAGGAAGGACGATGTCGATATTTTTCAAAATCATGCTTAACAAAAGAATGTTACACCGACGGCAACTGCCTATTCACTAGCACACAACGATTAGATTTAAAACTACTCAATAAACTTCTTCGATGATAAAGTGTCCCTCTAGTCAATTTTCTGGGGAAATGTTTCCACTTTTGATGGATTTTCTCATTATATCATAATTTCAGCTGTTCATAAAGTCAAAGCTTCCCATTTCACGAATATTTTTGAAATATTTTCCATAGAATTGTGTCATTCGCATTTCTTTTAGTACATTTGTAAGCGAAGTTAAACAAGTCTAGATTCCATTACAAAACGAATGTAAAACAGGCTCATAGGTTACAGAAAGTCGCCAAAGTTAAACTACCGCAGCCAAAACCACGGTAACCTTGGATAACCAATCAGAATTCAGATACAACAAAGTCGCATCATCGTTGAAAAATACACTAAAAATATTGCTAACATAATATTACAATGTATGATTGTAGCTTGTGTTGTAAGAATGTCTCGCAGTCAATACACAGACGACCTATAGAGAAATCATACCATGAGCGACATACCCATTCGTCCAAGTAACTGTAGGTCATGGTACTTTGAGATGCATTGGTATTTATGATAATGTTCTTCAGCCTACTCGCAACTCTTAACGTAATCCTGATTCCTAATGGTAACTTTAGCCCTAGATCCTAAACCTTGGTCTTAAACGCCACAACCCAACCCACCAGTATAAATTTACAGAAAAAGTACGTAGTAAATAAATTGAATACTGCATCTATCCTCTCCAAGTCCAGAAAGGCAGGCATGATTTGATTTGGAATAATATTTCATAGCATTCTCTGTGTTTGATCGGTGCTTGAGGGTCAACTTTTGAAGGACCTTGACTTTGACTACAATACTTTAACTATGCCGGAAATTCTAATACCGAAAATAAATTTATTTAATAGGATTTTAGGATCTGCATCAGATATTCTGGCGCCCTTAGTTAGAGAAAAAAACAATGAAATTTTTCAGCCACTATTATCCCGATGCTGTTTGGTACTAATGACCTTCGACTACTATCTAAATAGGGAGAAATATTTCAACCGCAAGGTTAATCTATAAGATACTGATACAACCCTACACCTTTTTTGCATATAGCAAAAACAACGGTTTGTGTAGAGTAAGACTATATCATTTTATTTCGTCAGTTTCTCTCCAGCCACGCATACAGTGGAGATGCAATTTTTTTATATCAAATATGTGTGCGAAGGAATTCTCCAACATCATATACGAGTTAGCAGGAAGCTCCAAAAAAAATTATGTCCAAGTTAATCAGTTTCTAGTCTTTTTTTCAGATATTTTGGTAAAGGAGTTGTGTAATAAAGACAAGAGATTGGTGAATTAATGATGAATAACTAAGTTGCATAATAATGGGATGAGTTGAACCCAAGTAACAGAAAGAAAGAAATGAACTCAAAGCAAACGATTGTGTAATCACACAAGAGGATGAGTTGGTAAAACGAGTTACCAGGATAAAGAAAGACTAATAACTGCTTCTTTCCAAACAGACGAATTGGGTTTCACACGCTTGGTAAGAGTTGCTACAAAAAACTAGAGAAGCATTGAAATATACCGTCTATTGATTATCTTAAAGGATTTGAAAATATCCACCTCATGATCCGTATTCATAGGATGTCTGGCGATAACAGTGTTGAAACTGTTCTTTCCATTGAGGCGTAGGCTTCTCAGTATATGTTTAGAAATTCATCATAGTTTAAATTACTTTAGTTGCAACCACAAGCGAACGTATGAAGATGTCAAAGTCAGATAGACAGAATCGGAATGGCAAGATACGCTTTCATCAACCTGAAACCAGAGTAGATATCTTCTACACTCTCTCAGACAGCATAAACAGCAAAATCCGGATTCTTTTCAACACAAATGTCAAATCGGTCAGCCAGCTCTTCTACACAGGTCACAAACTTGCACTGAGTGTTAACGGAAACGATTTCCAACAAGCTACTGAAGACTTTTATCAACAGCTACTCACTTTGCCGGCTCGGTGGTTCCATACTGAAGATCAAATTGCCTGGTCGGTCAGCAACAAGAAATTCTGGCAGGAAACAAACCGACCAAGAGCCGATCGCCCAACAATTATGAAGGGAAAAATGAAGGTGCATCGGTCACATGTTGAGGAGGCCGTCGAATGACATCGCGCGAAATGCAGGCTACCTATCGTTCGAGTGGAGTCCCAATGGGAAACAACCAGTGGGTCGTCAGTACGAGGGTAACATGGAGGAGGTCGTGTGTTGGGCAGGAGGAGGAGGAGATGAGAGATTATGGGAAATCGTGGGGTTAGCCAAATGAAGAGGACAGCAGAAAGTAGAAAAAGGCGGAGATGTATTGTTGAAGCTCTATGTTCTACTCGGAACCCAAGGAAACAATAACAAACAATAATAATATAATAAATTACGTTATAACATCAGCATTGGAATTACTCACAACGATTAAGAGAACCAAATGGGCTAATGACATATGACCATAATAACCGTGAAATCTACAATAACTGCATATTTAAATCATTAGGCGACAAACGAAAAAGTAGTGAAAATAATATTTTTAAGTCACTAAGATCTGAGTGTATAAGTGAATAATCAAAAACAAATTTTATGTTAATAATGATCAAATAATCAAAAAACATTTTACTTTTGAAGAAAGACATTAAAATTTTAAATGTTCTAGAAAATGTTAGTGAGAAAATCCAATTGTTTGTATCTTCACACTAATGTATGTAAATCATTATTTCGAAATATTTTTATACATGGAAAAACGCGCAACTAGACATAAATTCCCTTACTTTAAAAAATGAGGAATTAAACTTACGCATTCTTAACAAGTTCGAATTAAGAGACAAGGGAAATGAGGCCAATACGACTTTATGTGCAGTACCCTGGCAAACTACACGTTAAACTATAACTTCACAAGAACAAAAATTTAATTCCCATGAAAGGCACTGTAAAACTCCGCTTTACACAATTAACAACAATCTTATCCTTCGCTCGAATCTGAGAGGCGAAATTACACAGAAGGCTGGTGAAAGCAACCATTCGGGAAGCCAGTCAGCCAGCCAATGTGTCTTCTCTAGACGAAAGCAAGAATAAGAATAGGTACGTGGAATGTCCGTACAATCAACATATGTATATATATGTTGATTGACGTGTTTATGCCCTTATAATCTTTAATATGAATACGATTTTACTAATTCTGCCTGGTGATTGTTTATTATTCTGACATAATATGATGAAATATATATATATATATATATATATGTATGTATATATAACCGAACCCCTGAAGAAAACTTACAACAAAATGATTCTTTTGTGAATCGCCAGATGCCATAATCGCTTGATTTTCACGAGCATCCGTATACACTTCATTGATACACCTTCTCGTCTAGATTTAAGTAAATAAAATAATATGATTTATTTATCTCCAGTAACTACGGGAATTTAAGAATTTCTCCAACGTTATTTTAAAAGTTTGTCAGATGGAAATAATAAATGATAGTGTCAGACTTCTTAATTGGAGTATCCGCACAACTTATTCAAAAGGAGAGGACCCATGCAGCGACAAAGCTGAATTTTAGACACCCAAGGTGTGTAGACGGTGCACCAATGACCTTGGACTGAGCAGTTGTGCTAGGAAGCAAATCTGGCCTCTAATTCTAATCTTTCCTCAACCTGAAAACCTAACGTAACCTTAATCTATCCCTAACCAACCATAATACCTGTCTAATTAGGTCAACCTACGCCTAACCTAAAACTAAACAGATATCCTGTTTGGTATCATTAAACTTCACGAGTATTGTGTTATTCACCTGGTCTCACTGTCTTGCTTCGAATAAGTGTTTCAAAACTGTCGGGGCATTCGCGCCAGTTGGATGTCTAAAGTTTAATTTCTACCATGCAAACAGTCGATAACGATAACTACTTCCCCATGATCTACAGTTGTATATTCATCAATATTAGCATACAACAGTCAGCAAAAGCAAAACAAAATTATATCAAAAACTGTGTTTTAGTAGGTAGGATTAAATGCGGTCGAAGTAAAAGACACAATAGCAGGTAGCTAATTTTGGCCATCACTTAAATGCATATCAAAACCTGGAGACAAGATAATAGTAGATGAGGTAAATAAAAAGTCGATGTATTGTATATTGTCCAAAGCAAGTTCACCTTTAACATTTTGAAAAAATTTGGGCATTGAGTATATCGTTACATGAATGTATTGATCAAATGTAATAAAACTATTTGTAAATTGTTGGATTTGATAAGCGTATAGAATTATAAAAGCAGCATATCTTTACATAGTGAAATTGGTTATCATATTTGCGTTGGCTGTCATTTGATAGGGGAGGGATGGGGTGTTGTAACCAGGTCAAATTCTGTTTTAGTCCATCAAACCTATTCATCAAACAATTTGGATTCCATTTGATATGAAGCGTTTCTGATGATATTAGACGTTATTCGTGATTTCTGAAATTTTTCTGGATTATTTCATCATTGTCAAAAATCAATTTTGTGACCTGATTCTACACCACAGCATGAAGAAAACCTATGGCTAATGATTTTTCAAACTTTTTTGGTTCAACTGGATTTCTCGGTAGCCGAAGAAATTACCCCATGCTGATGAACGATGGTTAAGTTGTTATATACACGAACTAAGATTTTGTAAATTCCGTTTTCATAATACTTCTATAAAGCTATTAGCAGTAGGATTCAGTAGCGAAACATCACTAGAAACAATATTTTTTTCCATTCATTGGGAAATACAAAAACTTTTATAATAATGAAAAGTCGTTGTACTTCATGTTTAGTTTTGAAAATGACATTATTAATAATATCCTAAAGTATCGACAGAACAGATTGTTAGAGAAAACTTATACTGCATACAAATCGGTACTCAGTTTTTTAACCACACCAGTACTCTCACAGTGAGTCGACGATAAATTTCTGATGATGGCTTCTCCAACATTTGTCAGTTTACATGTTGCAACGGAGCTAGTTACACACATTGTACTTGCAAAGCTTTATCATGAGTGCTCGTGAACATGTAACGGTTTGGGTGAGTAGAGGAGTAAAAATTGCATAAATACCACAACTTTATCCAACTTGGTCTATGGTGAACTTAATCACAGCATGCATTTCAACGTAATATGTCATGTTCCCAGTAGCTTGTCAGAGGGACCTCCAATGACACCTATTTGTAACTAAGGCGGTAACAACCAACACTAAAAGCATCTGATCTCTGTATCCAGAAGAAATATATCCATCAACTTAGTCTATTTCGGCCCGCAATAAGGTAAACACATTCGTCATCAACATGTGTTGATAAATAATACTCCAAACCTCTATCTCATTATTTTATATATTTTTTCCCTTCGTCTAGAGGTAAACCTTTACTTCAGACGTTTGCAAACCTATGACATTGTTTAATGAATTGATTACCACCTAGGTTTACGCAATACAGTTTTACATTTATTACATTCACATACTCCTTTTCTTTACCATTACTGAATTCATAATTACTTGATGATTGCTCATTATTAGTATTATTATTATTAATAGTAGTAGTAGTAGTAGCAGTATGGTGAGAGCTGGCTGTTAGTCAAAATTTGTGGACAGTAATTTGCGTCAATGTTTATGTCCCCAATATCGGTCGTGAGAAAAATGAGAACAAAGGCTTTGCGTAGGCGGATACAGTTAACATATAGATGATCTGAAATTCAAGAAACAGCCACAAAGAGATGCAAGGTTAACTTTCTGTGAGAAAAAACCAATCAGAAGACTGTGTTTGTCTGCTAACAGTAATCTATAATAATGAACATGAAAATCTATAAATACTTGTTGATTTCCTTAATAAACGATCTGTTGCCTGGCCCTTGTCTTCTGTTGTTACAGTAGTGGTAGCAGTAGTACCATATTCACAAGACGCCATTAATGCTAGTAATCATCATAATAATAATGATAATATTATTATTATTTTGCAGGTGGTTGACAAATCCCATATGAAGTAGAACGAATTCATCCTATCCCGCAAAATATACTGTCATCACTGCGGTATTCAAATCATCAGATGCTTGCCTAACATTTATTTAAGTAACGCAACAATATTCACACTTATCCTTTGATAGTATTTATATTCCTACACAGCGGAACAATGCGGGATATATATATATATATACTGCCTTTGTGAAAATTCCAGATTATTGTTGTGATGAAAATAGGATATGATTAAAGCTGCATTTGGTTACTAATGAAAACTGATACCATGTTGCCTCATAATTCCAAATTTTCAAATTTCTCAGATTTTTCAAATTTTACATTGTTTTACTTCTTTTAGATTATCATATTACAAAGAGGAAAAATATCCACTAAACAAGCATAATCTTCACAAATTTCGACTGCGTGTAACTATGTATTACAGAGTACAAGTTCATAAACTGAATAGTAAGTTTTACTTATTGTAAAAGATTTAGTGATCCCATCTGTGCGCTGAAGTCATTGCAAGTTGACGTTAGATCCAAAACTCCAATCCAACATGACACAAATGAAACTGACATCTCTGAGTTAATCTATAGCAGCCATAACTTTGATTGATAACCTGATCATGTATGCACTTCAGTTTCACTTACAAAGCTGCATTGTAGATGAATCCAGTGATAAGAAAATCTCCGCAGATAACTAATCATACTTAATTTTTAGTTGGACTAGTCAATAACTGGTGTAATGTGTTTAGTCTAGTGTCCAATCAAAAATATCCCATACAGTCTTACAGGAGGTCAATCGCGAGCCAAATTAGCTCAGCAGTAACATCTCTGACTGCAGACAGCACTGGGGGACGCGGGTTAGAATCTCTGAAGGGACATGGGTTCCTCCCTTCAAGGCTGAAGATACACCTTGCTGACTGGTGATTGTCAACTAGTAAAAAACCTAGGACGAACAAGGCTTCCTGTCAATTGCCTCCAAACATCTAAAAATTACAATTGAGGTCATCAAGGAAGACATTTTACGCATCCATCAAGAATCCAAAAAGCTAACTTAATTTCGCAGTTGTCGCTGAAGATGCCGTCTAAAAGGAAATAGTACAAGCTTTGTATTTAAACTATCCAGGTCACAGAATACAACAGCAAAAACATCCACTGAAGCTTTTAGAAAGCCACTACTACTGTAGAGAGTATTTACTGATATTATTATTGTTAAAGGGTTCTGAGTCAAAAGTATAACAGTAAGAAGTAGAAAAAAAAGTACAACTTTTGGATCAGTTTTAATTACCTTTCCTGTTTCATCGGTCGACTCTGAAATCTCCCTTCGAACGTTATACAGCTTTCCATCATTTTCCTTCAATGTTTCAGTGATAACTGTTTTTGGAACATCTATTGTAGAAAACACAAGGATTAGATAAAATGAAAACTTTAACATACCTGAAAAAACGAAACCAAGATTGTTTCAATGAATAACTAGGAGCGATGAGGGTAGATTAATGATGCTATGACTGTCAATTTTTTTAATCAATAATGTATCATCAAGTACTACTGTCTGTCTGTCTGTCTATTTTCGACATAGAACTTTGCACAAATGTGCGGAAGTTCAAGTCGCCACATTCCGTGTAGCACGCGAAGCAAGAGAAGAAAGTACAAGAAAAGCATAATAGAAACAGTGAGCAGAGGTGTGAGACAAAGGAGTAATAAAGAAATACAAAACAGTTTCATTGAAGATCATAAGTCACAGGGAGTGGATGCATCTGCGCCACTGAGAACGGTTTTGAGCCATGTCACCAATTGTTTCCAACCATAGATTTTTACCGTCCCGAGGACCCCAGCCTGGAAGTCTACACCTTTCTACGTGGCTTAGACCAACTGTTGTGGATTTCATTGACTGATGCCAAGTTTTTGTTTGACCGCCGCTAGCTTTTTTCCAGCCTGACCCTATATCCGCTAACATAGCTCGTCGAGGGAGGCGATGGCTTGGCATACGTAACACATGTCCTAACCATCTCAGTCTTTGTAGCTTCACGACTTCGTCGATTGATTTCCCCTGTTTACCTAGAACTCTACGCCTAACCTCCATGTTGCTCACCTTATTATGCCACTTTACACGGGAAATAGAACGCAGGCACCTATGATCAAAGACAGCTAGTCTTTTCATGTCTTCCACTCTCAGTGGCCAGGTCTCACAACCATAAAGGAGGACGGAGCGGACTGATGAGCAGTACACCCGCCCTTTGGTCGATAGTCGAACATCTCGTCTACGCCAGAGTCGGCGTAAACTAACAAATGCGAAACGAGCCCCTTGTATTCGTGCTGAGATTTCGTCAGAGATCAGCCCGTTGGGGCTGATGGTACTTCCCAAATAAGTGAAGCGGTCAACGTGCTCTACCACTTCACTTCCTATTTTTAAACTAGGCGTCGATGTAGTCCAGTCCTGTAACATCATCTTGCATTTGGCGGGAGCGAATCGCATGCCAAACATTCGTAGATTGCGGCTCAAGGTGTTTAGAAGACTCTGCATTTCGTCAGCGTCTTCGCCTAGAAGGACTATATCGTCTGCATATTCCAAGTCAACGAGATTATTCCCCGGTAGCAAGTCAATCCCTGAGTCGCTGAAGTCACCTAGGGTTAAGTCCATTAACACATCTATGATGAAGTTGAATAGAAAAGGAGATAATGGGCATCCTTGACGGACACCACTGGTCGTCATCAGTTCAGATGACAGCTCGCCGTAAGCCCTCACCTGGCTGTATGAGTACGAGTAGAGTGCCTTAATCAGTGCAATATATTTTCTTGGAATTCCCTTTACAGCCAAGCATCTCCAGAGAACTTCCCGATCGACAGAGTCGAATGCTGCCTTTAGGTCAAGAAATATAATGACTGTTGGACGCCGGTAGGAATGCCTATGTTCTAGAATCTGTCGGAGGGTGAAGATATGATCAATACACCCTCTTCCTGGTCTAAAGCCTGCCTGGCTCTCTCGTGTTTGTGCTTCCCGAGCACCACTCAGTCTACGCATGATTATTGAGCCTAAGACTTTAGATACTATATTAGTCAAGCTAATCCCTCTGTGATTATCACAGGAAGACTTGTCTCCCTTCTTGTATATGGGGATAATCAGTGACTTACACCAACCCGATGGGACTTCTTCTGATTCCCAGACGCTGCCTAGTACCTCAGTTAATCCGGACAGTAAGCTGTCTCCACCGTACTTAAATACCTCTGGAGTCATTCCATCAGGTCCCGCTGCTTTGCCTAGTTTCAGATTGGTGACAGCTTTAGTAACCTCAGTTAGTGACGGAGGACCTGTGTCTATATCCCATTCAGGGAGGTGTTGGATGCTCGGAAGGTTGAGCGTGGCTGTGGGCAAATTAAACTGCTCCTCATAATGCTCTTTCCAACGATCCAGTCGTCTATCCTGGGAGCTAATTATAGTGCCATTTTTTTCCGAGATTGTCTCACTGATGATTTGTCTTCTCCCACCCGTTTCCCTGATGAGTCCAAAGAGTTGCCTGGTGTTGCCTATCCTCGAAGCTTTCTCCATCTCTTTGGCTTTTGTCGCCCACCACTGTTCACGGTCCTTGCGGAGACTTTTCGTAAGTTTCCTCTTGTGCAGCTTTCGCTCCTCATTGAATTCGGAGCTCGCCGGAATAAGTCTTCTAGCATCTATCAGTTCGGATGAGGCGGTGGAGATCCAGTGGTTTTTACTCACCTTTGGGTTTACCTTATTCACAGCTTTTACAGCTGTATCTATGGCTGCCTGGATATTTTTCCAAGCTTCTTCAGGGTGAGCACAGCTGTCGAACACAGATATGTGTTTAGCTAGTTCTTCCTCAAATACGGATTTAGTTTCCTGATCGAGCTGGGGACGTGATGGTTTTACCGCCAGCTGTTTCCTACGTCCGTTCAGTCGTAAGCACACCCGAGCGCGGACCAGTGCATGGTCGGTATCTACGCACGTGTTCCAGAAGGAGCGACAATCTCCTACCGACCCACGCCAACGATAGCTTATTGCTATGTGGTCTATTTGTGTCCAGCGTTGGTTTGATGAAGGGGGTCTCCAAGTCAAACAGTGTCTCTCCTTGTGTTTGAAGTTAGTGCTTACAAGAAACAAATGATTATCAGAGCAGAACTGTAGGAGACGGTCACCGTTGTCGGTTCGCTGGCACGGAACTCCATAGGTGCCACCGACATCCTTCTCAGATTGACACAATTTCCCTACTTGAGCGTTAAAGTCACCAGCTAGAACGACTATGTCTGAGCGTTTAGCCTTTCCACCAAACTAGACAGCTTTTGGTAGAACTCATCCTTCGTTTCATCTGAACTGCAGTCAGTGGGGGCGTAGGCGGAGATTACGAAAAGGCATCGGCGAGTAGTGCAGTCCTTCCTCCTTCTTACTGATCCGTTCAGGCGGACAGCACACATTCGGCTATCTACCGGGATCCAGTCAAGCAATGTCTTTTCTGCCCTAGTACTCAAAGCTATCCCTACGCCAGCTAATCCTCGTGAACTAGCTGTGGCATCTCCTGACACCCTCAAGGTGAATTTTGCAGATTCAACCTGTTGGCCAGGTGGGGTTAGGTGAATAACCACACTTGGGTCTTGTATGCGTGTTTCTGAAACACAGCATACATCAATGGCTCGTGATGCCAGGGTCTTGGCTAGTGATGCTTGTTGTCCTATTTGGCAAAGTGTCCTAACATTAAGAGCTCCTATATGAAATTGGTGGCGCGGCTTTAAGAGGCTGTCGGTGGTGGTTTTTTGGCTTCCATCGTTTTTAGTGGACGCAGAGTGGAGAGGAAGTGGAGAGCTATCAAGTCGAGGAGTTGCATCAGTGGAAGGAAGGCAAGATGATAGAGATGAAGATGAAGACAAAGATGAGTGAGTAATAGAGAGGTTTCGTGTGCATTTCGGATTGTGAGGGCGATTGTTACTTCCCGGCTGCCCACACCGTGGAAGTTGGTTGCGTGACCGCAGAGCCCAGGGGACAACTGCTTGAGGCCGGTCACACGCGGCCTGTTTTTGTTCGTTCTTTTTTGTTTGGTGTGTCTCAGTAGCAGATTTATCACTCCTGCCCTGTGACACGGCAGCAGGAAGCGCGGTCGTTGTTAATCCGGGCCACGGCCGATCCGGCATGAAATTTTGTGATTTTGTATTGGACATGATGTTGGATTGGGTAGCTGCTTTTTGTTTAACCGCTATCCAAACAACCTGCCTGGCATGGTAGTACCTCAAGAGACATAAGTCTCAGCCAGTATAGCTTGAATAGATCATTGCGGTGTTCAAGCCCGACCACCACGTCAAGGTAGCAGCTTTCGGTCAAGTACTACACACATCAAAGATATAAATTAGTTACATAATCAATGGTAAACAACCACTCTGTAAGTGAAAACTATTTGATTTTTCAGACATAGGAAGTGGATAATATTATGAAGTCTTAGGAACGCCCAGGTACACCAAAAGGAAAGCTGTTAAATTACTATCACACGCTATACAGTGTAAAACCACACACAAACACACACAGATACTGAAATAAGTGCTTTTAAAGACTGGAGGTGAAACAGTTATGATATGATACAGACCGCGACTACCCAATAAGTCCAACACATACGAACATTTGGTAAACTAACTAGGTGGCTATATTTGTGGAAATCTAAAGAAACGTCTATTCCTTTTAATTAAATCTGAAGAACGTCGGGCTTAACTCTGAAGCCTATTATGACACAAGTTTATGCATTTGAATTAAGTCTGCAAAGAGAATATATAACTTACCAGCATTGGGAACAGATGCATCACTTTTTGATTGGTGCACACTTTCCTTTGTCAGGTCTTTGGGACGAAAAACGTTCTCCAGATATCTCCCTAGAACGTTTCCTGGAGGACGATAGTGTGCAACAACAACACACTTTCCTGGACCGCGTGCTTTGCCAAAACCGACTTCACGAGTAGAACTCCACACTAGTTGTGTAAAGTTTCCTAAAACAAACAAAACCTTCTGCGTAAATTGCATTACGAATAGAAACAAAGGATTCACTAACTCAGAAATCAGAATGAGTAAGAGAATCTTAAAATCAACAACAAAATTGTACCATTGTTTACCTGCAGGTCCCTTTCCATTTTCGTAACTATAGTTCTTGACATCAGCATACCACTGATTTACAACTTCAACGCCTAAAACTGATATCACACGAAGAGAAATAAAAACCTTGGATGTCCACATGAGTTCCTGTGCTTGTTCGTACGCTAATACTTTCTCCGACCTCTCCTCGACTAGAAAGTGGGCTGTTTTTTATTCCATCTTCAGATATTAATTCTTCAGCCCAGTCCTGTGCTGTTTTGTCTAATGCGCGACTATGTCGTAAAGTACACACGCCATGAGCTAGTCTTTTTGTGTTATGCTCCCTCAAACAATCTTCTATAAATTCATCCAGACGATTCATCTGTAAGAATATAGTATTCTAGACACAATATGGAAAAAGTGAAACTATTTTACTGAAAGTATAACTCCATTATGGATAAAATTTTATTTTGATAAAATCACAGTGTTATACAGTAATATTTAAGGATAACCACGTCTCAAGCGCAATTTATTACCGCTCATAATCACATCAAGGTACTCACACGACTTTCTTGCTTCATTTATATACATGAGTAAAAACTGATTAGATATTTAAAAAAACATTAATACAAGATAAAGTACATTCGGGAGTAATATTAGTTTTATCAATAAGATATACGTAGACTGCCAGTCACGAACATGGTTGCCAGGAGACACAATTCTATCATTCATGGAGAACTTAAGTTAGTTCATTTTATGTTAAAACTTGCACTGAAGACGTTGTCCACAAGGACGACGAGAGCTCCGCAATTAAACCAAACAGCTCAGCGAACACAACTAATTCCAAATCATTCACCTGAGCCACAAACACTCTATTGTTTAAAGATGGGAAATAAGATTTTTTTAGTAAAGTAAATAGTGTTGAAACTAATAATGATGACATAAATAAGAAAGAACATAAGGCATCTACAGTTTTACAACATAAGGAGGGGACATCTGAGACCCTACGTGGGATTCTTATAAGAGCAGGAATTAGAGGGGCATTTGAACCTACAAACTGACTCAGGCAGGACAAGCAGTGTAGGCTAAAAGACCCGGTGGACCCAATTAAACAAAATAACATAATTTACAAAATACTCCGCAATGAATGTGAGGTCAACTACATAGATCAAACTACTAGATCGGGGGTAATCAGATTGTCGGAACATAAGAATTGAGCTAAGGTAAGGATGGTTGACACCGAGAAGATAAGTAATTTAGAAAAAAGCTCAGCGATCGCACTGCATGCAATAACACACAACCACACAATAGGGGGAGGAAGAGGGTTAAGATTCTAAGAGGTAATCTGTGTAGGTGGGGAGAGAGATTGATTAATGAATCCTGGTTAATTGAATCTACACCCAACACATGCAACAGAAACGATTCAATGCAAATACCAGAAATATGGAAGATATTATTACCGCCAGTCAAATCAGAGGGTAAAAATAATGTTAAAATGTATTCAGTTCATGTCATAACATTCTAAAAATTTATTTATTTAAATATAAAAAACTTATTTCCCAAATGATCGTATTTTATTGATAACACTAGTATTACTCCCGAATGTACTTTATCTTGTATTAATGTTTTTTTAAATATCTAATCAGTTTTTACTCATGTATATAAATGAAGCAAGAAAGTCGTGTGAGTACCTTGATGTGATTATGAGCGGTAATAAATTGCGCTTGAGACGTGGTCATCCTTAAATATTACTGTATAACACTGTGATTTTATCAAAATAAAATTTTATCCATAGTTGAGCAATACAGGGAAGTTTGAATTTCTTGCAGATGCGTGATACAGTCTTTTAGAAAACACAATTATATTGCTACTTTCTTTAATTTACAGGGTAATTCTTATCTTCTGCTAAAAATATTAGTTCATGCACTTCACTTAAGCGAGAATTAATACGTACTTATAAATCCCACTATTTTTCCTTATGCCTCCTTAATCCAGCAGTAAACGAATTAACAAACTTCTTTTCATAATCACTGGCAAACTTGGTTTTGACTTGCTGCAATTAATGTTTTTCCTAAGATGTACTCGTGATCAAACCTGTAACCAAACAAATACCTACAGAGGTTTGCATGCAAACATCATAGAATTCTTTAATTTAATGGTTTATCATAACTTGATTCCATACAGTATTTTCGTACAACTATGAGATTTTCTGCATGCGATATCGGTGGCCCAAATTTAGCAGGCAGACCACTGATATCAGGTGTGCGTCGGCCGGGGTCGAACACCGGACCATATGCATGGTTGGCGAGCGTCATAACCGCTGAATATAACTGGAAACTGTTCAGAGTATGGATTCGCAATAAAATGACTCGTCTAACAACGACCCTAATGCATTTTTGAAGAAAAGCATCAAATTTACATAGGTGAACAGTTACTTCATACAATCGTCTATATCCATATGCTAAATATCATATTTAAAATGTGACTATATAGTCACTTAAATATATAGTTAAATTTATTTCTTCGAACAACATCATCAAATGGAAAGCCGCATCTGCTTCCTTTGATCAGTATTATGCTAGCTAGATGAACATAAATACACTACAGACCGGTAATGAATTTGTTTGGATTTTACCTGGTTTTTAATTAGCGCTTATTCATAACCCAGCTAACTGATTCGTTTAAACTGTAGTCACCTTGAGGACTGGACTCATGTACCACGTTTGGTTGAAATTTCTTTTGGAAATATTTTGTCGATGAATTTTAATGAAATTGTGTTATTTATTATCTGGATTGACGGGAATTCCCATTTCCTGGCTAGTTATGTTGGTGTCCGCATCATGCGGTCTGACTGAGACACACTCTTAGCACATTTGTTGCAATGATTAGTGTTTCGAGTGGACTTTGTCAAAACAACGGTATAATGGGGAAGATAGGATAGTTCGAGGGTAATCCCATTCACACAAATCGTTTACTCCATGTAGAAGCTGCACCTTTCGGCATAGTATCATCCAATGATGACTTCACGTCTCAGGATATTAATTCAGCCTATTTTCGTGTGAAGAACAGTCCTTTTTGACAAATGAACGGCATCAGTACATGGAAATTACCTATAAATGCTAAAAGAACATTCTGTGGGAACCCAATATCATTTGTATGTGCTTGTCACTTTATCTGTGTTCGGACAGGAATTATCGTAAGTTGAAAGGTTATCTCTAAGTGGATTTAATAAATATTTACTCTAATTGTTGCAGTGCAATATGGGCTATGTGAATTCAGTGTGCAAAAGTATCTCAACTTTATTATTATTGTGCCACTGTCTGCTTAGCTGAGAGCTAGTCTAAAAAATGTGGGTGGTTCTCGTGATTGTTGCGAGTGCATTGCATTGGAGAAGGCGTTATCTTGTTTAATTTTACTCACTGTTTCACTTAATGTATTAATTCAGTGTATAGTATTCTTATACACATGGATTGTGTTGATCATGAGAACTGAATCCAGTTAGCTCTATTATTATTCTATCGTCTGTTATAACATTCTCACTGATACTATATACTTAGTGCTTCACCATTTTTAGTCACCAATACTGGGGATGAATTTCTCCTGAAATTAACATTAATATGAAGTAGTGCAGATGAAGTGTCACGATTGCATGTCTGAGTTGCATTATATGACACTGCTATCTTCATAAACACAACTGGTCTGTGTATCTCACAATATTTTAATTATTTTTCCATGCCGTTGACACTGTGCATAGTTGCATAGGGTCAAGGCATGTTCAGCTTATATTTGATGGCAACACATTCCCAAATATAAGAATGTAATTTCTGATTAATAAAACCACGTCCACTAGACATTACTGAGATTTTGAATTAATTTTAAGTTATACATTTGCAATACTTTCTTTAATGTAAACGTATTTAGTGTGAGGTTGGTCTGCAAGTAATCTTGATGAGAGAAAGGCACCTCAACGGTATGGATGTTACAGAGATTGTCTTGAAGTTCGAATACAATCCTCTAATACTGCAAAACATGTGAGGTCTATTGATGCCCACGGTGTCAATATAAAAAAAAGCTGTGGACTACATATACATTTATTTGCATGAGATATTACTTATAATATAGAATTATCTTTCATAACTTCATGTTGTGCCAGTACTTACACGTGCCTTATTTTTTAAGGTACACGGAGGTTGTCGAATATGAAATAAGTGGAAATATCATTCGGTCAATCTAACACTAATACCTTCCATCAGAATTTTCTTTTGTGAATTAAGAAAATGTTTAATATACTCCTCATTTCTACTTCTTTTGAACTTCTTCAGCGCGTCGCTATACTGTGAGCTTTTGTAATATGTGAATTCGGATTAGCATGTTAAGCTTAGTTAGTCAAATGGAGATTCACTACAGTAATAGGAGATTGTTACTTTGGCCATCTATAGGATTCCGCGCATGTCTCTATACAATAGCACATTGTAAAACTAAGTAGGATTTAGCAAGTCGTCTAATAATTCTGTACTGTTTGATACACTAAAGTCGCCTTATTCAACCAGTTGCAAGTCTGTATACTGCTAAACGCTAAGTATGTAGTACAAGTAAATGCAGTAAATTAGGGTTGATAGCTACTTCATTAATCTGTTAATATGCAGTGACATCACCAAATAGACTGTTTACTTGACACTAAGCTAAGAAGTAATTTTTATTTATTTCCAATATGCCGTTGAATCATGTGATGTCATCTAATATCCATCATTTCTCCGATCAGATTCAGATTTCAGATTTATTGGTTGAGGATAGAAGACTTGGAGCCTATGTTGATTGTCAATGTAGTTGAAGATTGAACGATCAATTCATGGTTGTTTGCTCAAAACTAACTTCCCCAGTTTTCGCGGAGGCATCAATACGAAAGTCATCGTCTCATCGGTCGCTGTTCAAAAAGAAGAGTAAAAAGCCGTCAGAAGTAATATTGTGATTTATTATTGTAATATTTGTTCACAGACCTTAATGGTAACATTTTTTATATGTTGGTGTTACAATAAAGAATTCTCGAGTGGCCAATCGGTGTTTTGGCTTTCGCGTCCGTTATTATTAAGCGTTTCTGAGAAACTTCAAGGAACAGCGTGAGCCCGAGCGTAGCAAGAGCTGGGCATTAACGGTTTACGAGACGTGGCTGACATTGATCCTTTTCTAGTAGATTTCTGTGGTTGTCCAATCGCTTCTTGAACGAATCAGTTGAGATTGCAGACACCACTTCTTCTAGGAGTCGGTTTCAGATGTGTTTGACTAGATGTGAGAACCAGTGCTCAACAGCGATATGATTTCTCCTTGGCTTTTGAACTTTCCTGCTATGTCCTCTAATATGTTCCGACCTGGTGGGAAGGAAAAGAGAGAATAGGTCAGGTCCGTAGTCATTATTTGAAATTTTAAACATTGTGATTAAATCTCCTCTCTGCCTACGAAATGACACGAAGAAGAGATTTAAGCTGTCTAGTCTTTCCTCGTATGATAAGTTAGTCATCCCGTGAACCGTACGTGTTGCTTTCCTTTGAACCCTTTCTAGAATGTGTGAGTTCCCTTTTAGACAAGGACTGGCGGCCTGGATGCAATTTTCCAGTCTTGACCTCACCAGAGATGTATATAAGGAGGTGAACATATCTCTGGTAATTCTTTTAAAGGCTCTGTGAATCGCCCATAAGGACCTGAAACTGCGTGCAGCCACCGCGCGACAGTGTGCTGTAGTTTTTAAGTTGTGGCTGACTATGACACCTAAGTCCAAGTGAGTCTGAACTGATGGAAGTGTTATTCCCTCTAGTTCGTAGGAGCTTGTGCTTGCTTGTCCAATGCGCGTGGCTGCACATTTTACCACACTGATCGGCAACATCCATTCAACGGACCACTCCGACAATTTGTTGAGGTCCTCTTGCAACGTGAACGTATCACTGTTGCCCTTCAGCTCTCTCCAAGTTTTTAAGTCATCTGCGTATAAGGCCATCGGGGAGTCGGTGAGCAGAGGTAACTCATTGATATACGGAATAAAAAGGAGAGGACCGAGTACTGTGCCCGTGGCACTCCGCTACATAGTGCTGTCCAAGAGGAGAGTTTTGAGTTGATCCCAACCCTCTGCCTCCTATCAATGGGGAATTTCCTGAGCCAGTTTAGTAATCTGCGTTTGATACCAAGACTTTCCAATTTCATGAGTAGTCTTTTGTGAGGTACTTTATCAAAGGCTTTACTGAAGTCTATGAAGACGACGTCAACGGGTCTTCTGCTGTCCTTTGATTTGACCCAGCTTCCTCTTGCAGTGAGGAGATTTGACAGGCATGAGAGGTTCCTCCGGAAGCCATGCTGTGCTCCAGATAACAAGCTGCTGTTTTCCAGATATGCCATGATGCTTTTCTTGATGATTCTTTCCAGTGTCTTGATTAAAGTGCTGGTGAGTCTGATAGGCCTGTAATTTGAAGGACTTTGTCTTGAACCTCCCTTATGGATAGGGGTTACTATGGCGTCTTTCCAATCACGTGGCAACACTCCATTTAGGAGAGATAGCCTGAAGATCGTGGTCAAGGGGCCGGTGATATGGGCTAATAGCTCATTGAGAAGCCTTGGATGAAGATTATCAGGATCCATTTATTTCCCTGCATCGAGTTTCATTAAGCGGTTGGTCGATGTCAATGGAATCTATCCCATGTTCTTCTGATGCAGCCAGAGCTGATCCCATAGGAAGTGGTGACTCCAGAGTGAAGACTTGGGGAAAGTAGTTTGCCATTGCTTCTGCTTTTTCTTGATCTTCTTCGATTGTATCACTGTCAATAATCAGGTTTGGGACACCATTGGATGTTTTATTCCTGAAATTCATGTACGAGAAAATTTTCTTAGGTTGTGCCTTTGCATTTTGAGCCAGGTGTGCCTCGAACTTCATCCTTGATTGGCGGATTTCTGCGATAGCTTTATTTCTAGCAGTGTTATATAATTTCTTGGTCTCAGAAGTCTCAAGTGGGGCAAACAGGTTCCAACATTTGCGTTTACGTCTGAGTAACTTACGAGTCTCCCGGTTTATCCAGGGGGGGGGGCAATGTTTCTGACCCTTTATGACAGATCAAGGGATGAAAGGTTCAGTTACTTGGGCGTAAAGTTGTTTAAATTGGTTTCATGCGGCTTCTACTTGGGAATCTGGATTGATGTACCAGTTTACCGAGTTGGCTGGTGAGACGATCGCATCTATATCAGCTTTCCAAACGTTTGGTCGAGCTGGGGTTTTGGCATTTGCTGCCGTTGCTGTGAACTTGAAAGTGAGCGTAGCATGGTCACTTCTTCCTAACAAAGGAAGATGTTGTATGAGATCCACATCCTCACCGTGTGAGAACACTAGGTCCAGAGTTGACGAGGAGTGCTGTGAGTCATATCTCGTGGGCTTAATGATATATTGGACTAAGGCCAGCGATAGACTAGATTCTAGCAGTTTATGTCTGTCTGTCTGGATTCAACATAGAACTTGGCACCGAAGTGCAGCAGTTCGAGTTGCCACGTTCCAAATAGCCCACAGAGGTAGACAAGAAGATGAGTGAAGAGAATCAATAGAGTTTGACAAGTATAAGAGTGAAACAGAATGGGTAATGGTAGAAAGGAATATGAAAGATTACAGAGACTGAATACATCTGCGCCATTGACAACGATTTTGAGCCATGTCACCTATTGTCT